TGAGTCCACATCACCACAATGAGTCCACATCACCACAATGAGTATACATCACCACAATGAGTCCACATCACCACAATAAGTATACCTCACCACAATGGACCACATCACCACAATGAGTCCACATCACCACAATGAGTCCACATCACCACAATGAGTATACATCACCACAATGAGTCCACATCACCACAATGAGTCCACATCACCACAATGAGTCCACATCACCACAATGAGTCCACATCACCACAATGAGTATACATCACCACAATGAGTCCACATCACCACAATGAGTCCACATCACCACAATGAGTCCACATCACCACAATGAGTATACCTCACCACAATGAGTCCACATCACCACAATGAGTCCACATCACAAAAATGAGTATACCTCACCACAATGAGTCCACATCACCACAATGAGTCCACATCACCACAATGAGTCCACATCACCACAATGAGTCCACATCACCACAATGAGACCACATCACCACAATGAGTATACCTCACCACAATGAGTCCACATCACCACAATGAGTCCACATCACCACAATGAGTCCACATCACCACAATGAGTATACCTCACATTGAAAATTTCACCTCATTACAATAAGCATGAAATAAAAATATATTACCCATTTTGCCTCAAGAACGAAAAAAAGGACATTTGAGATATTTTTCTGAGACGCATGTCATATCGATTGTCAGGTGTAAGGGAGACGACTCGAGTTTGAATTATGTGGTAGTTATTGATTTTGGGGAAAAGTGCACAGAATCTGGTATAATAAAAATGAAAAGATATACATATTACACATTCTGTATAAAACCAGGTTATTCGCAAAATGTATTAATCAATGAACGCATTACACTTTATTTGTTTTACACAACAAAAGGAAACATCTGTGTGTAGGTTTTCGTAAAAACTGGACGGTTTCACTCACTCTTTACGTAAATTTTTGTGTAACATTTTTCTAAATATTTTAGCAAATGTGTTTGATGAACGCTTTGTTTTATATCTTTACATCGCCAAATATCCACTTCCCAACAACAGACCGAATGAAGTATTTTCTTCAGCCTCCGGACTTCAACTTTTCTTTTATAAATATTCCTGAAATGTTAATGTCACACGATAAAACGTATTTACAGTTCTCCTAAAAGGTAACACGGAGAAAATAGATTTCATTTAATTTCCTATTAAAGAGAAAACAATCTTCACTCAATTGGATAATGATGTCCTCTCCGTTCTTTAAAATTGAACTAAAGTCCCTTGTCGGGCAATATTGCATTATCTCATCTAAAATAAAGAACGCACAACAAATTTTGCCATATCATAATACACAAGAATATTACAGAACATGGGAATCGGGTATGTCAAGAAATGATAGTTAGGGACACAGGAATAATACAGAACATATGAAGTAGGTATGTCAAGAAAAGATAGTTAGGGACACAGGTATATTACAGAACATATGAAGTAAGTATGTCATGAACAGATAGTTAGGGACACAGGTATATTACAGAACATATGAAGTAAGTATATCAAGAAAAGATAGTTAGGGACACAGGTATATTACAGAACATATGAAGTAAGTATATCAAGAAAAGATAGTTAGGGACACAGGTATATTACAGAACATATGAAGTAAGTATGTCATGAACAGATAGTTAGGGACACAGGTATATTACAGAACATATGAAGTAAGTATGTCATGAACAGATAGTTAGGGACACAGGTATATTACAGAACATATGAAGTAAGTATATCAAGAAAAGATAGTTAGGGACACAGGTATATTACAGAACATATGAAGTAAGTATGTCATGAACAGATAGTTAGGGACACAGGTATATTACAGAACATATGAAGTAAGTATGTCATGAACAGATAGTTAGGGACACAGGTATATTACAGAACATATGAAGTTAGTATGTCATGAACAGATAGTTAGGGACACAGGTATATTACAGAACATATGAAGTAAGTATGTCATGAACAGATAGTTAGGGACACAGGTATATTACAGAACATATGAAGTAAGTATGTCATGAACAGATAGTTAGGGACACAGGTATATTACAGAACATATGAAGTAAGTATGTCATGAACAGATAGTTAGGGACACAGGAAGATAGTTAGGGACACAGGTATATTACAGAACATATGAAGTAAGTATGTCATGAACAGATAGTTAGGGACACAGGTATATTACAGAACATATGAAGTAAGTATGTCATGAACAGATAGTTAGGGACACAGGTATATTACAGAACATATGAAGTAAGTATATCAAGAAAAGATAGTTAGGGACACAGGTATATTACAGAACATATGAAGTAAGTATATCAAGAAAAGATAGTTAGGGACACAGGTATATTACAGAACATATGAAGTAAGTTTGTCATGAACAGATAGTTAGGGACACAGGTATATTACAGAACATATGAAGTAAGTATGTCATGAAAAGATAGTTAGGGACACAGGTATATTACAGAACATATGAAGTAAGTATGTCATGAAAAGATAGTTAGGGACACAGGTATATTACAGAACATATGAAGTAAGTATGTTATGAAAAGATAATCAAATTGCCATAATAAACCATATGTTATATGTATATGGCTTCTATGTTTATATGTCTATGTCTATATTAAGTCATCCCGTTAATTAAACGTAAGGGACGGGACTATTTCGGAGAAAAAGCAACAATCTCTTGTAAACGAGGTAAAAAAGTCATATTCGTTGTCAAACATATCTTCCATGACAACAGGTAGACTGTCGAGGAGAGTGGCTATCTAAAATCTATTTACACAAGTTAACAAGGGAAATATACGCCTGAACTGGATAATTCGTGGGTTTTTTTGGTAGAAAAATGTTTTCGTAGAGTAAGTAACATTCGACTAGGACAGTCTAAATAACAACGAACAACAGCATCTTCTACAGAGACACATGCTACTCCATTTTTAGGACTCCATAGCTTTGTAATATACTACAGTAATATGGGAATTACACAATCGCACAATGTTTATAGTTGTTTAAATCTAGAAACTTATCACAGACATTCAGTCATTTACTTACTTAAAAAAGAAAATATTTACGGTAGCTGAGAAGATAATTACTTGAAAATACGAATTAGAATTTTTTGTTAAAGTTCCATTTAAGCTCATAAGAAAATTTTTGTTTGTAATGAAAAATGTCAAACCATACACAATTACTTTTTTTTCATTTAATAAATATCATAATATTACGATATAGATAGGTTTCGTTTCGTACATGAAAGATCATTTCCGAGAAAACTATTTTTGCAGATACACTAATAAAAAAGTTTTGTAAACGTCACACTTCAAATTCAAGGATGGTCAATTCAAGAACTTACAAAGCTTTTGTTAAGATACCGAAAGTAGATACGTGACTTCAAAATAGGATTTCCATCTAAATGACAGACTCGGTCCACTCAGGTCACTTGACTAGAGGTGAAAAGTCAAAATTCTTCCCATTTGCTCGATGGTATTCAAGTGTTGCCTACTTTACATGTTAGCCCCAAGTGCACGTGTTACATTTCAAAAATAAAGTTTTAACACTTAATAATGTAGTAATATGTTTGATAATGTTATTTAAGGGGGAAAATACTGTTTGTTGCTTGTTCTCTGTTCCATAGAGAACAAGTTACTTCGGGTGTGACGTTTTTGCTCTCCGTCACTATGGAAACCAATTCCTATTTCGGTCATGGTTGGTCATTAGAATTCATGTGAATAACTTTCATGTCGAGTTTCATTACTTGGTACTGATGGGAACAGCGCTGTACTTTTTCACAGTTGTATGTTACCAAGGGAACTCATTCCATGTACATATGTATGTAGGTGTTAAATGTTGTTATATGTTACCCACGAAACAAAAATGGCGTCTGAATCAGTTGTATAGTACTAAAGGTATACGTGTTAATAAGATCATAATAACCCCTTTTTATAGTAAAATTGTCAGTTGTTATTTTCGAAATGCCTACCTAATAATAAATTTGTTGTGATTAATCTGTCTTGATTTCAACTCTTTGGTTTCAAAGACAAAACTCTGCCTTGATTTGTAAAGTGAGTGTCGTGAACTGAAACAATTATTCGTCTCCCAAAAACATATAGAGTAATGTCTCTTTGTTGTAACCATGTCCTTTTATATCTTTCCTTTGTGTTTATTGTATTCTGGACCATGGCTTACATATCATGGTGGTATCACCCACGTACATTATTAATTTCGTCAGTAACAAATATATTTTCACGGTTTCAACACATCACCACATTTGAATGTGTCTCAAGTATAAAACAGTGTGGAATAGTTATTTTTGAACAATTTGCCACGATAATAAAGTTCCTGACACAAATGACAGAGAGAAAAGACTGTGTCGTCACCAAGGTGTTATACAGTGCAGTCATGAACGAAACACTTCTTTGATGATCTGGAACATCAGTCGTTTTGACGTCACCTACTTACTGACAACATAATTCAAGATTTCCTTTTTTACACACTACAAATAATTAACACGCCCTCACCCCCTACAAACAACACCCCTCCCATCCTCCCTCGCACATACATACACTTGCGCACTCCCCCCCCCCCCAACCCCCAATCCCCAACCCCCACCTTCACTTCAAAAAATACTTTGTATCTTACTATTTTACTTTCCCTATTTACTGATGTCTGTGGGAGTGGTTTGTGTATCCTATACTATAGATAGAATGTATATAATACATGTATGTGTTGCATTGTCCTGTATTAATAAACCGACGAAATCACACTGCGTCTGTGTTTCCTCTTTCCTCTTCAACTCCTTAAAACACTTATATAGTAGATTGCGGTTTTGAAAGTGCGTTGAACTTGGGTCTAGTTCGTTGATAGTTGACGGAAGTTATTTAATTTTTACTATCATGTTTAGTAATATAGATACACGAATTCGTTACTGCAGCATACGTTTTCAGGCACGACCACTGGACGTCAGATACACAAATTCTCTACTGCAGCTTACGTCTTCAGGCCCGACCATCGGACGTGAGATACACAAATTCTCTACTGCAGCTTACGTCTTCAGGCCCGACCATCGGAAATCAGGGAAAGTAAGGGTAGGTAAGTTTAGGTTAACAAGCAAAATCATGGAATTTATTTACCCCGCTTTCCAACATATTGTAAGTAAATATTTTAGAGGTTATTATATTTAGGAAAGTTAGAGCACAAAAACTGACCGACCAATGAAATGAAAGGATACCTAATTAGTATGCATATACATTAACAGATGATACTGATTGCTGAACTCATTCTTATGAGCCCTAATATGCATCTGCTGACCAAGTTTCATCTAAATCGGATTATATTTAGGGAAGTTAGAGCACGGAAACGAACCGACCAATGAAATCAAAGGATACTTAATTAGTATGCATAATTATTAACAGATGACACTGATAGTCAAAGTCAGTCTTCATGACCCAAGATGCATCTGCTGACCAAGTTTCACCCAAATTGGATGATATTTGGGGAAGTTAGAACACAGAAAGTGTGACAGACAGACAGACAGACAGACGGACGGACGGCTGAACCCAAATTAATATCCCCCGTTTCGGTGAAAGCGGGGGATAAAAAAGAACAATGTCAATTTGGTAACTTGTTTATTTGTGGAGTGGAACAATGATCATAGTTATCTGAAAAGATTGATAGGTAAGGGTAGATAAGGATCTGTGTTTTCGTGGAAGTTGGTGGGGAAGTAGGTGTGAGGGGTAGGGTGTGGTGGGGGTAGGGATGGGGGGTCCGTCTGGTTACTCTGGTTTGTTCCCTAGCTGTTTCATACTTGGCGTAAAATGAATAACCAAATATTTCGCTTTTTGCTCTCTTTCACCTACGTACAGTAACCTTTTAGAAAAGTTTACTTAGTGAAATGGTATATTAGACTTGTGCGATGTGACAAATATTTGGTTTCGTTTTCTTTAATACAAACATACAGTTGGCAATGTGACCTGGGTAACGTCCTTTGAAATATAATACAAAATGAGATACACATGTATCATGGTTAACATAATTAATGATTGTGCTTTTTGACCAATCCCTTTGTAATTCTAACGAGGAATTAGTGTATTTCTTTTATCAGTAGGAGATTTTGATGGGTAGAGATCTAGGATGACAACGTCGATTTCACCTGTCCGTGCTGGACTGACCATTGTAAAATTCCTTTTCCTGTTTTCACCATCAGGTAAGAATGACAGGTCGCGACCTTGATGAATTTGTAGGCAAAGCTACGATAATCCATTCAAAGGAAAAAAACTTCGTTTTACTTCAAGGTATTAACTAATAAAAAAAGTTCAACTGGTTAATTAACAACGAAAGATACGTACGTCTTTGGACAAATAGACCATTGCAAGGGAGATAACTCCAACAGACATAATCGCATGTAATGTAACTGCACAAAGCACTCATTTTTGTGTCGTTCTAAACCAAACATAGGAAAGACACTGTTTTCGTTTAGTTTATAAACTGATAGATTTAAACATATTTTATTGTCAAAATCACACACATGAATCAGATACATGGGCGAACAACTTAAGAACTCAAATTTAATCATTTATATCACGTGATATACAAACACTGTTATATGTAGCATTCATTTCTAAACATATAATTGCGAATTAATACTGAGTTTATAACGTTGCAGATTTATTTCGTTTGAATTAATTTAAGGAAAGAGAGTATGATTTGGTATAATATATTTGGTATTAAATCTCGGATGAGTTCGATATTAGTCAAAACTCGTCCAGATTACGGAATGCATCTAAGGTGTAGGTGAACAAGTATGGTGCAACCGAGTGTAAGGCCGTTAGGAATGCACGTGCTAAATAAGAAAGCGTTTACTGTTTTTGTTTCAATCAAATAACTTTTTACCTTCAGCTTTGAACCACATTTAGTGTTTTGCTTTATATCAATCAGATCTCGAAGGAATTCGATGTTGATAATAATTTGTCGATATTTTCCAAAGTTTTCTAAAATATTGAAATACAGTACTTCTCAGTCCTGCAATATTTGAACAAAATTTTGCATTGCTTTATATCAGTGAGATCTCAGATTTGTTCATTAATATTTGCCACAGCTAGCGGACTGGAAATAATTGAACAATTCTCCCACTTCGGACTTGAAGAGATGCTTTAGTTGTATTGCTGTAGTTATAGAGTATAACCCATACTCTACATTACATTGTATCCTTTTAGAAAACGCTTTCTTATTTAGCACGTGTATTACCAATAACCTTACACTCGGTTGCATCACAATTGTTCACCTATATCTTCGATGCATTTTAAGATTGGGAGGGGGGAGCAAAAAGTTGATAATTGGTCAGAACTAAACTTCATAAACTGAATTTTTGTTTTAATTTTTTTCCCTAGAGTGTCGTTCCTTTAAATATAGTAAGAAACATTGAATGAAGAGAGTTTAAAAGAAAGTATACTGTTGACTTTTCGATCTATAGCGGATTTATTTGGAACTGCTTTTCAGTCATTTGCGTAGATGTGCGCTTGATCGGAAGTACCGTACCTGGTGCCGGGCGCCTGGAGGTTTACTACCGAGGAGAGTGGGGAACAGTGTGCGATGATAGCTGGGACGATGGCGATGCTTGGACGGTTTGTCGGTCTCTAGGTTGGAGGTACAAGTCTGCTTCTGTTAGTTTGTAAAATTAACTCTTCCGAAAAATTCAGCATACAATCATAGAGAAAGTGGAATAGTTTCGTCTCATAATTCAGAATTTTAACCAATCAAAATGACGGGTTGTATTAACAGCATTACACCGGAACCTCCGCAATCCAAGAAATAGTTTTGTGCAAACTAGGGCCAAATATGGTAGAGTAGTACGAAGAGGTTACTAGTACGATGATATCCTTCCCCGTGGCATTCAAACTCCGTATGAATAGCGCTTATTTGTGATATCCTGAACGACACGTGACATATGGTAATATATATAATGCATATTTATCGCTGTTATCAAACCTAGAAGGACAGACATTCTGTAACAAAACTATTTTGAGGTTTCGGCTTCCAATCATTGAAAGTATTTAATAAAACGTCATGCATTCATCGTGTAAGAAGAAAAAGCACACACACAATAATAAAATATTTCAAAAAGTCGTACGGATTCTTAATATAAGCTAGCATGTTAACGTCACGATGTATCTCTTACTGAAGTTACGAGTTTATCCCGGAATAATGATTTTTCACATAAGACTTTGCCCTGACTGCCTAGTGAAGGACCTCATTGCTTCGGTTAAGACGTTATAATATCATTGCGTCATCGCCATTTTCGCTTCACCACACATAAATTGCTGTGTGAATATTACGAACTTAGTATTTATGTTATATTCCAATTTTATGTAATATTATTTATAGTTAAAGTTTTTTCATATTATCTGCTAAACATAATATCGTTCCGTTGCATTTGAGATTAATCAATTTTTTGTACCCGGCCATTTTATGGTCGGGTCAATGTCTTACTGTTGTCTTTGATTCAGCCGTTTAATCTTTATAAGATCCAGATACACAACGGTGACTTAAAAGGTAGTTCGGATAATAATAACATGCATGTCACGATCTAACTTGGGTATGATCTTTTACTTTTATCTACGATTAAAATAACTCAACTTCAGAAAAAAATCCATTTCCACAAAAACTGTTGAGACCAATATAAAAGAGTCTTGTCCCACTTCAATGGGAACTTTTGTTACTCGCAGGAATATCTGTAACAAAATGAATCAAAAAATGACTATACGCTACAAAGTTACACATCCTTGTTAAGCCTGTTTCACATCAGCCGTGCGATTTTTTTCGTCGTACGATTTCCGCCGCAAACACAATCGCTACCTATTCGCACCCGTCACACATACTACAAATTTGCAAAGCGATCTCCGTATGGCGTTCTCAGGTTGAACGTACGAGAAAAAACAAACAAAGCGACGTGTTCGCACGGCTGTCATGCGGTTATCGTGAGGCTGCCGCACGAATTCTCAAAACACCCGCAAGACTGCCGTAAGAATTTGCAAAGTTTCTTACGACCATCGCACGGCAAGCACGAATTTGCAAGACAGCTGTACGTCGGTCGTGCGATCAACATTAAGAGGAGGAATTATTTCCTCTTGTCCAGTCTTTTATGGTAAAACTCTGGATGTTTGTTTGGAGGCATGACCTTTTCTTCCTGAAATCTCGACAGCGACTGATGACGAACAAGACAGACAAACTTTTTAAAAGAGGAGGGGTGACGCTAACTTTTCACAAGGTATTTGCGGGGCGGCCGTGCGAATCTATACGTTGTTCGTACGTTCCGCAGCAGTCTTTAGACAGACTTTCACCAGACGCAAGGCATTCGCAAGTCAGCTGCAAGATGTTCGTACGATCACCGTGCAGCCTTCGCAGGACAAACGCAAGTATGAAATCGTACGATTGACGTGCGATGGTCTCAAGGTAGCCATACGGCTGCCGTGTGCCAACCGTACAGTTGCCGTGCGAACGCCAAAAATCGCAAAGAAATCGCAATAAAAACAAGCATGTTGAAAAACCAGCTTGCGACGTCTGCGGCGTTGCGAATTTTACGACAGTCTTGCGGAGTCCGCACGGAGTCCTGCGATTTGTCAAAAAATGTTCCCGTACGGCTGTCGTAAGGCTGATGTGAAACGGGCTTTACTCCAACATCTAGCTCTGCTCGCTCGTGTAAAGTTACCAAAGTGTTAGTAAAATCTTCCATTTCTAAAATTATCGTTTTCACAAGTGATGGAAAAGCGTTTGGAAGTGCCACGTTTGGAAGAGGAGGCGGCCGTATCTGGCTTGATGACGTCCAGTGTTCGTTTTTTAATACTGATTTAGAGCAGTGTAGCCACTCAGGATGGGGTTCTCATAACTGTAACCATGGGGAGGACGCAGGGGTCTGGTGTGTACGAGGTACGTTCAATCTGTCCTAAGTAAATGGCTACAGAGATGTTGACAGCTCTCCATATTTTAATTTTGTCGATCATGTCCAAATAAAAATTTTATTGTGAAAAAATCGTATGAAAATATCACAATAATTAAATCAAAATGAAGTATAATAGTGATCTCTATGTTTTTGTTTGTTTGTTTGGAATGTATTTATTGATATTATTTTGAAAATACAATCTTTTAATGTATTTTAACTTATTATAGCAGGACGTGTAATTAATTTTGCTCCAGATATTGTTTATCATGTGAATGATTTCTGAAGGATAGTACACATAATTACAAGACGTTCTTGTGGCAAATCTTCTTTGAAACGATAAGGTCTCTTAAAAAGCAAGTCGACTTTAAATGCATCAGGAAAACACTGCATTATTTAAGTGCCTCCATCAGATGGGTCGAAAGTGCCTGTCCTGCTGAACGATGATCACTTACAGTTCTGTAGTATTATATACTTGTTAAATAGATTAGTTCCGTTATTTAACAACCACACTATCCCCTAGCTTGGCGTACATGTGCTTATGGCACGGACGCAGAGTGTTGTCAATTCATAACCATGTCGTTCAAACATTATACTGAATACATTAGTAAAAAGCCCGCGTCCCAATAGTCATTATATAAACGTTATTATACAATAAATTCAAAACTGGTCACTTTAACTTATAATAATGACTGTTGTTGTCCTGGTCATTCGTGGAAACGTCACACATAAGTTTTTAAATATTTTATTGTATGATCTTTCCTTCTATATACACTTACCAACCCGAAGAAAATTTGTCACAATACTTAAGATTTTAGTTAATGTATGGACTTACCCATTGTAGATGGCGACGTAATACTGACGGGCAAAACGTCGACACCTCATTCTGGCCGAGTAGAGGTATATCATAGCGGGGAGTTTGGAACAGTGTGTGACGACCACTTTGACAACAAAGATGCTGATGTCATATGCAAAATGCTGGGGTACACGTAAGTTCACTCACTCGAAAAACTTTAAAGTGATATATTCGTTCTGCTGTTTATCACCTTCAAAAAGGTTTTAGGTATAATTTGTTATGCTTGGAATAAACATACATGTAAGTTAAAATATTCTAACACAAAGTTACCTCTGTATACAATGTTCTGTTTAATGAAGAGTTATTAATAGGCTTTAACTTTGGTGTTTGATAATGTCGTTTTCGTTCATTCGAAGGCGATGATCTACAAAAATGTTGGTAGATGGCAGCAGAAAATCTCAAAAACAACGAAAGCTGTTAAAATAAAGGATTTTACAGTTTATATCGCGTGTTCACAGTGAAATTAATGTTGTTTCTTTATGTGTACAAATAATTTTCTTTAATATTGAAAATATTCATTCACGAATTCTGATATAGATCAAGTAACACATTCCGTATTCATCGTTTTTAGATCTGGCGGTGTAGCTCATGGGAACGCCAAATATGGTCAGGGTGCTGGGAGGATCTGGCTTGATGATCTGACTTGTAGTGAGAGCGCGACTCGTCTAGACCAGTGTGGTCTATTAAATTGGGGTACCCATAACTGTGGTCACGGTGAGGATGCGGGTGTCTTTTGTTACCGAGGTAGGTGTAGTTTAAGTATATCTGTATAAAGGAAAATGAACGAAGTAAAAATCATAGAGAGAAGTAATGATAAATACAAGACGAAGACCAGCTATCCCGGAAGGGTACGCGTTTTCGAAATTCGATTAGGGATGTTTCCGGGTTACCGACTGTCATCTTTTATTCTACCGGCCCTTACTTTTTTTCAACATTTTGACGAAGAGGTTACTTTAATATCTCCATGTTGTTTTTGCTGATATTGTATTTACTGGCGATCCCCAAAATATGCCGGTACCTGATACAAATACACTTGATATCAATAATAGACCCGATGTGAAACATTCTCTAATTACCTTTCTGGGAAGATGACGGTCGCCATAACAGGGACGTTAGTACAATTTTGTTATTACGGTATGTGTCTAACGAAAAACAAACAAACAAAGAAATTATTAAAAAAAAAATAAATATATATATTTGTGAAGTTGTCGATATATTTGTGAAGATGACAACTTATATCAAATGCACAAATTGAGCCTGATTCTGCTTCTCCGTAAATGAAAATGCAAAAATTCAGATGAAGGCGTAGAAACCAAAACCAAGCCTGACCAGTGCTCGAATGGGAACTGTGCTTGGACATATTTTTGTTTTTGTTTTCGGATCTCGTTCCACAGATTACTGTTTTGTCTACTCATGATAACCATGTGATATGGACACTCTACTACCACGTCGATTCGTTGAAAAAATGGATACTGAAATTTTGATTCTAAAATAGCAATAGTAAATATCTTACTTGCAGAAAAGGTTTAACTACGGGAAAGACAATAATTCTCAAAAATCAAATACTATCGATGTTCTGACAGATTGTGATATTCAGTATGTAAAACGTTTCTAAATACAAATATTTATTATTATCCTGGTGTGGGTTTTGAGGCCGAGCTCGGCGTACACCAATTGTCCGCAACAAAAAGAAAACGGATGGCGATTTATCTGGAAGAAAGTGAGTAGGCTGATGGCAATATGGAGTTTAGACATCGTATCAGACTTGACAACATCAAGGGACATTTAATGTAGACACAATCATCGGTACTACATACCTCCCAACCGTAGATTTTACAATTTCGGGATAGATATTGAAATATCTATTAGAGACGACAGGAAGTTTCAACCGGACACGGAAATGTCTACCTAGCCATTTCTACCTGTGTTTCCGGAAATCGTCAGGTCGTAACATTGACAATACTTGGCCATTCTCGTTTATCAAATATTCATTGGAAGGATAAAACATTTCTTGTAAAGATAATATATGTGTTGCAGAGATATACGGCCCGTAGTTTTCCCTTCTCGGGAGTTACAGCCCTCGTCAATGTAAAACACATCTATGGACTGTGGGTTGGAAATTCGTGACAAGTCTCTATGGTTTAAATGTTGTAAAGCGACGTTCTTTAATAACCGGTAAATTCGAATATTTCTGTTTCTATCACAGGCTTCTGGGAAACAGCGCCCTGCAGTGTTACATGCGGGATAGGGACACAACTAAGATTTTTAACTTGTCAAGGATTCGGGTGTGTTCCGAAATCTGAAACTGCTACATGCTTTCTCATGGCGTGTTCAGGTAAGTATAATTAACGTAATGGGATATTAATCACTCTATCCTGTCCTTACGTCCTGTAATGGACTATTGTTTTCTAAACTCAAATTTGTTTTTCAAAATATCTCATTTTCGCGATTTTATTCTGCTCTTGAGAACAGCGAAAAAGAGACTCCTCGAAAATAACAAACTTATCAGTATGTGTTGATACTACCTATATTTACGGAAGGGCATATTAACATTTGCCGTTCGTGAGTATGGCATGGGATGTATTCCGTCTGCACTAAACACGGTAAAAGCTTGTGCTGTCCAGCCAAATTTTATACATTTATCATTAGGGAGGCGCCACAGAATAACAATTCGGCCACACTTCACCACGGAACAAAATTGTTCGATGGCTATAATTTTGCTCATTATCTCAGCATCTACTTTATTTGTGCAACATTTTGAAATGTAGAAACAAAAGTTCTCGCATCATTTATTTCCATTGGATTTAACCGCTTCGGCAGCATTTATAATCCTGCAGTAATCTGCCTGGCAGTGCTTTAATTTCATATCTTAAAACTGCGAAATTTTCTGTGTCATTTGCCTACATGTAGTTGATGGACAATGGGGATCATGGAGCAGTTGGACGTCGTGCACAGTCACGTGTGGAAGTGGAACTAGAGCGAGATCTCGACAGTGTAACAATCCGGCGCCTGCGCATAACGGTCTCTCTTGTCCAGGTGATGGACACGAATCGGAGGAATGTACTGCCGGAATCACGTGTCCAGGTATATACTCGATTTTTTTTGTAACCAAAACATTACCTCAATGGCCCTTTATTAAATTAAACCTATCACTACAGTTATTTACAAATATTTTATCGCAAAGTTGATGGACAATGGGCACATTGGAATGGCTGGACGTCATGCTCGGTCTCATGTGAGGATGGGACTAGAACGAGATCTCGCCGGTGTGACAATCCAGCGCCTGTGCACAACGGTCGCTTTTGTCCCGGAGATGAACAAGAATCTGAAGGATGTACAGCTGGAATCATGTGCCCAAGTATACTTCCCTTTCTCTGATTATTCATCCCGTTCACGTGATCTATGGATGAAACTTTTTAAAATGTGTTTTTTTCAATGTAAGATTTGTCCTTGTAAATATCTATCAAAAGCGAAAAGAAACAAATGGAATAGCATATTAAATTCTCTGCTGTCTTCAACAAGAAGAAGTTGAATATATCTTTACATCACAGTTGATGGAGCATGGGGACTTTGGACCAGTTGGGTCTCGTGCTCAGCCTCGTGTGGATACGGAAGTAGAACGAGATCTCGACAATGTAACAATCCAGCGCCTGCGCACAACGGTCATTCTTGTATTGGAGATGGACAGGAATCTGAAGAATGTACAGCTGGAATCATTTGTCCAAGTATATTTTTCTTACGTTTTTCCTTGGTTTCTTTCTCAAAATGATCTCTTACATTTGTCGACACTATTGCATGAGGACTACTTTAGGCTTTTTCACGTGGTTCATCTTCAATGTTCCTCAACGAACACAAGAGAGCATCTTTTTCGTTTCTAGCTCCAAGTTTTACTTTGAACATATTGCTGACGTCACTAAGCGATGCCGTTTATTAGTATAACAATATATTTTTTTCAGTTGTCATCTTTTTGACATGTGAACCTCATATGATACCATACTTTACCTGTCCAGAGACTAGCGCTGAATTATCCTGACAAGTTTAGATTGTTTAAGTTAAGGAATACAAAACTCATATTTAACCGATGTTTACTCTTGAAGTTCACGGGGGTTGTGGAGTGGATTGGCCGCGTGCTCAGTCTCAATCAGAATTGGAATACATTTTCCCAGGCAAATGTATGCGGTTCAAATGCTCGAGATGGTAGAGAGGAAAACTCACTCCTTTCGAAACATTTAAACGCTTCTGAAGTTTAGCCCGTATTTCAACAATTAATATTGAGTTTACTTTTAAAGTTGATGGACAATGGGGATTATGGACTGAATGGACAGTCTGCTCAGTCTCGTGTGAAAATGGAACTAGAACGAGATCTCGTCAGTGTAACAATCCAGCGCCTGCGCACAACGGTCGTCTTTGCCCTGGAGATAAACAGACGTCAGAAGATTGTACTGTCGGCATCACGTGTCCAAGTATATACCTTTATTTATCATTTAGACATTTCATGACATGTTGGCCTAAATTTCAGATATTCAATTTTTCTCCGTCATGTCAATTTATATGAAGACGCCCTGCAATCTCGTGGCTCCGAGTCAGATTTGTAAATTCCGCTAAAATCAACAGGCAAAATTTCTGTTAACATGAACTCATTAGGTTTTTAGAGGAAGTCATACCTCATCGTCAAAACTACACATGGGAAATGTTATCTTCGTTATATAAGGAAAAGACGTCACATATCCTGAAACACGTAAAACTATACACAAGCCAACAAGTCTAAAATGAAATCGATAAATGTTTATAAATGCGATTAGATTCTACAGACCAGAGCAAAAACGTCGTGATGATTCACCTGGGGTTATTTATTGAATCAAGGAGTGGATGGAGCGCGTACCCAGTCTCGTGGAAAAACGAAACTAGAACGAGATCTTGTCAATATAGCAGCCCAGCACAGGCATACAACGATAGATTTTGTCCTGGAAATTGTTTCTCCTGAAAGTTTTCATTCTGACTCTAATAGTTTTTGTCAGTCTTTCTGCAAGTCTGAGACTGGTATCAGTAATAACGTATCAGAGACTGAAGTTAAATATATATATAACTGAGCTGTTGATATTTTCATTATATGTATATATATATATATATCTTATTCGGATTTGAGATAAAATCGAAATTCTCTCTTATTTCTCACATAGATGATAAGATAAATCGAATTATGATATGTTTGAGATTGTCAGTGAGCTTTCAGGGGAAATCCTTTTCCGGCGATTAATAAAAATGAAGATGTCTTTTGGGCGTCAAGAGTAGTTGCGAAATAGCCATACATATTCACATGTAGCTGTTCTGTGCCTTTAAGTTTTAATGTTCATCTATTGAAATCCAAGAGGCCGGGTATATGTTGAATACAATATCGTTTCTCGGTTAAAGATGTTTGTAACATCTCGTATTTTAATCTTCAAGTTGACGGACAATGGGGATCCTGGAATACTTGGACGTCTTGCTCTGTGTCCTGTGAGAATGGCATCAGAATCAGATATCGTCAATGTAACAATCCAGCGCCTGCGCACAATGGTCTTTCCTGCTGGGGTGATAATAGCAACGAGGAGGAATGCTCTTCAGGAATCATGTGTCCCAGTACCTATATAGCTAAGATATATTTAATTTGCTTTTTTAGATCCTGTGCATCAAAATATGAAATGGATTACACTGTATCACAGACCTTACATCCAGTGTGACCTTGATTGTTCATGAATGTCATATATCTTTTTTTCTCGAACTCAAAACTTTAACAGTAAAGATTTAATCAGTAGATTACGACGATTGTCGTTGTGTAGCTTCTGCTGTCGTAAGTCTCCTACTACTCATTAACCCTGTACAAGGAAAATGGCTGTTTTTCCAGCTATTAATACGCTATATTTTTCTATTAAATCACTTTCTTATCACATTTTACCCTGAAAGTTGATGGACATTGGGGGCAGTGGAATGGGTGGACGCCATGTTCAGTCTCGTGTGAAAATGGAACTAGGACGAGATCTCGTCAGTGTGATAATCCAGTGCCTGTGCACAACGGTCGTCCTTGTTCTGGAGAAGTACACGACTCGGAGGAATGTGATGCGGGAATCGTGTGTCCAAGTATACACTAAACTTACACATGTTTGGAGAAAATTGGTTTTTAACGCAAATAGAAAAAAAGCCTCAATTGATGCTGTATATAGGTTATATAATATACAATATATAGGAAAACACATTTTCACCAAATTTGCGAAAAAAGGTGCTGTGCAAAATATTCAAACGAACGTGTTTCGAGCAGGAACACTACAACATGGTAGCCCCGTTGGATAACACTGTATGTATCTATAGTTACAATATTTTGAAAATTGTATATTTACAATATTTTTTGTTGTAATATGACAACAAACATTACATGTTCAACACACAAAACTGGAAATATTCAGATTTTGTCATGTTTCCTTTCTTCTAGTTGATGGACAGTGGACGGCCTGGAACAGTTGGTCACCATGTTCTGTGTCTTGTGAGGATGGCACCAGAACGAGGTCTCGCCAATGTCTCGATCCAGCGCCTGCGCACGGAGGTCTTTATTGCCCTGGAGACCAGCACGACACAGAAAGGTGTTCTTCTGGAATTATGTGCCCCGGTAATAGCCTTTGATATTTTGTACTATTCACAACAGCCGTGGGGAAAATTTCAGAAACTTTTGAGTAGAATTCCTCTCGAAGATAAGTAATTTCACAATTTCAAAAATTATTGTTAAAGTTGCTATTTTTTGAGTGGAGGGAGAGTAAATTTTTTTTCCTATTTTCAAGGATGGAATAAAATTGCAAAAAATATTTTTTGCGTAATAGAGAAAATCAAAGGCCTTCTCACTATTTGCTTGAAAATGACGTCCGTTTTTCATTTCTAAGGCATTACAGTTAATGTTTAATCCATGTGTTTTTCATCTTTCAAAGTTGATGGACAATGGGGCTCCTGGTTAAGTTGGACCTCCTGCTCAGTCTCGTGTGAAAATGGAACTAGAACGAGATCTCGCCAGTGTAACAATCCAGCGCCTGCGTACAACGGCCATTATTGTTCAGGAGATGACCATGACTATGAAGGATGTACTGCTGAAATCATGTGTCCTAGTACGTATTATATAGCAATATAGGAGGCTTTTTTTTCCAGTGTGAAATAGCTGGTACTAAACAAAATTTTAAAAAGAACAAGAAAACAAAAACAAAACAAAAAATAATCAAAGCAGAACAAAACCAAAATGAAATTCTCTCCTTGTTTTGTACTTAATACGCTTAATAACCTTTCGAGTTTTTTTTACAGTTGATGGTCAGTGGTCAGAGTGGAACGGTTGGTCGTTGTGCTCAGTTACTTGTGAGCACGGAAGTAGGACCAGATCTCGACAGTGCAACAATCCAGCTCCTGCGCACAATGGACTTTCCTGTCTAGGGGTTGTAAACGACGAAGAGAAATGTTCTGCCGGAATCATGTGTCCAAGTAATTTATTTTTATGCCAAAGAAACAAGTGGGACTTAGCATAATGGCTCTGTCTGGTCGTTCATTCATGCGCACAGTTTAGAAAAAATCGTTTAGTTCATATCTTGGAAAAGGCTACAGAGCTTGCAAATGTACCTGTTACAAGAATCATCAGCACATAGCGGGATTACAAAGAATACAGAACGATGAGGATGAATTTGACCTCCATTTTAAGCCCCAACGACTTATTCACAGACCGTTTCAGAGAAGTTCAGTAGTCTATATATGGGGAACTATACTCACTTTAATGGTCTGATACCTGCTAGAATGACTTAGGGTTGTTCCACAAAACTGTCAACCACTAAAGTATGCTACGTTTTTTGTAGTTTATTTCCCCGCCATTGTCTGTTCCTTCTCATTTCAGTTCGATCCTTTCTAAATTTACCCAAATGATAATGAAACGTATGTGAGATCATATAGGAATAAGCTGTATCAATACAGGATGTGCCAAAGAGAACCACGGCCGTGCAGGTTGGATATTAAGATTGTACCAATCCCCCCTCCCCCCTCCCTCCCACTCATCATTGAGAGTTGACTAAACGGATTTCATTTTTCTCTTCTTTTTAAAAACTATTTTTCTCAACGTCTCTCTTTACACTGCCTCACTTTTTTCCTTTGTAGAAGTGTGAGGAAAGCTTAAGGTTCTACCCCCTCCTCCATCCCTCCCCTGGCCGGGATATACCGGAGTCTTCAATAATGGTAGTTACTTCTCCCTACCTTCGGCAGTATACATCAGGCAGGTAGCACTGTAAAGTCGGCTTCAGAAGTGTACCGTCACAAGGAGGTCTTCACGAACATACAAGTCTCCTGCGAATCTCGCATACATCGCGAGGCCGTGCTTCAATGATCATACCCGTTTCTATGGTATCACACAACACCACACCTTAATAGACCAATCCTAGATACTCCGCACACCTTAATATACCGATTCTAGATACTCCGCACACCTTAATATACCAATCCTCGATACTCCGCACACCTTAATATACCAATCCTCGATACTCCGCACACCTTAATATACCAATCCTAGATACTCCGCACACCTTAATATACCGATCCTAGATACTCCGCACACCTTAATATACCAATCTTAGATACTCCGCACACCTTAATATACCGATCCTAGATACTCCGCACACCTTAATATACCAATCCCCGATACTCCGCACACCTTAATATACCAATCCTAGATACTCCGCACACCTTAATATACCAATCCTAGATACTCCGTTCTTCCTTTCTATTCCAAATGTCACTGACAAGTATATGACATGAAAGTTCACGGTAAATGACATTATGCCCTTGCCTTAATACCTCTTTGGACTGTTTGGTAAGTGAGGTACTACTGTACAGTAAAACACACCAGATATATCGTAGGACAACTGGCTATAGACAAAGTATTTATAAACTTTCCCAGGGTGCAAATCATACTTATAAATAATTAATATCAGTAGAGTTGCCCTTTGACTTGTGATTAAAGTGGTTTATTTCACTATCTCATTATCAGTTGATGGGCAGTGGGGCAAATGGAATTCATGGTCATCGTGTTCCGTCACCTGTGAATGTGGTGAGAAGATGAGGTCACGTGACTGTGACAATCCGAACCCAGCCCATGGAGGTATGGAATGTACCGGAAACATGAGTGAAACAGCATCTTGTGGAATCGATATTCTATGTCCAGGTAAACCCTTACCCTGTAATCAACAGTAATTGCTACATATTCAACATTAGGAACATGTCTTACCTCAAAATAAAATAAAACAATAACACGCTTGCCTCCTAAATCTAAAATCATTTACTCTTTTTTTTTTATTGCTTGTTGCCTGCTTTAATTTACATTCAAGATCGTGTTTACTAGATTTTATGGTTTTTGTGTGTCTTTTAACGTATATCATGCTGCTTCTCCGCGGCAAGATTGTCACAAAGAAACCATTTCCTGACAGGAAGTGCTAACGTTTCCTCTTCTGGTGAGTGTGAACATACTTTTTTTCACGCAGGTGGCTGTGGGAAAGACCACCTGATGTGCACTGATAAGAAAACCTGCATCCATGTAAGCATGTCATGTGACAGTGTGAAGCAGTGCCCGGATGGAAGTGACGAGATAAATTGTATAGGAAGGAACCTGCTGTATATGCCCCAGTTTCAGTACTTGTTTTCGTCGGGTATGTTTGAGGAGGTGGACACTTTGAAATAAATGTTTTTATAACTCCGTGGATATTCCTGACATTTTCACTAATCACGAATCATTCAGTACTTATTTTGAAAACTATGTTATTATTATGTTAGTCATATTATTGATACTTCATTTGGAATAATCCCGCAAAGGATCACATTCACGATAGTTTTGATATATACATGATCAATCCATTGTTACTTATTATTTTATTACTTGAGATTCGAAACGTCTTTTTGTCGTAGAATGATTTTGCTATCCTGTTACATATGAACGTATATATTTGTTTGGTTTCAGACTCGACAAGAATGTGTCCATGTCTCCCGTGGTTGATCATTACATGGTTGTCTCTGGCCGTGTTCCAGTAAACTTTCAACCTACATGTTGTTGATAAATATGTATAATAATCTAGTGTAACGATTACATACATAATTATTTACTATCTTCTGGTAATCTTGATCTCTCCATAGAAAACAATATTTTGCGAAAAATGCATCTTAAAGAAACCAGCGTTAGATTAAATAATATTTTCTCAATGCATTTGTGAGACAGTTCACAGGTTGTTCCTTTCTTTGTTTTCTTCTTTTGCTTTGAACTTACAATACATGTTACTTAAAGATCATATATTTTCTTGAAGCTCAATATTCGTGCCCCCCCCCAAAAAAAAGCAAAAAACACTTATGGATTTCTTGATGTTAAGTGCCTACGACATGAAAGAAAATAAAACACTCACGAAATTTTACTATTTCACAGTAACCAATTATGTCCATATTTATAAATTTGTTAGATAATGGAGGTGAGCGCATTGATAATGTTGCTATAATAGTAACTTGTGCCCCTTCCTCCTCTTTCCCCGTCACATACACATGTTGAAACAGTAAAGGAATGACAAAATGTACCGTTTCTTGTTTTATAGACAAGGATACTTTTAATTCGTTAACAAAAGACATGAATGAAAATTTCGTAGAGTTTACCATGTGTTTATGTATACATTTATAGACAATTTCATGTTCAAAATGTTATTTGTTTTAATATTCTTATTGTGACAAGTGTTTGTAGCCTTATTTTTTAAGGCAACATCATATACAATAATCATTGATTTTTTTACATAGATATTTGTTGCAAATCATAAGTGATGGTCAGTTTGTGTAATTAGTCCGTTTTAGAATTGAAAATATTGATATCTAACATGTGGAAAGTGATCAAAAAGTATTATTTTAAATATTTCTATCAATGGGATTGGTTGTAATTCGCGAATCATGAGGTTAATTATTGTCATGACGTGTATTCTGTTTTCATTCTGAAATAAATGAAAATGTGAAAGTGAGTAAATGTTTTATTTCACTGCCTCTCAGACATGTACTTCAACTATATGAATATTACATTTATATTAATCTTATTTTTACAAACGTTTCATTGACAAAGACATTTTATATAAACATAGTTTCCTCATGTAAGAGTGCTCTCACACATCATTCACAACACTACTTCAACTGACATATATCCTTATTAAAAGCACTTAATCGACAATGACTTAATTTTGCAGATATATATTTATTACAAGTAAGGCAACCCGTTTTTCCCTATCCAATTAAAAACATGTTACATACCAACAACAATCAACTAAGCCTAATATAGCCTTTATCGGGCCTCTCTCCGTGAAGCGGAAGTGTGTTATATCCTCGTGCAGAGACTGTTGCAAACGTCATAAACATCAACTCGATAGTGGTTAGATTTGTGGAATTTATCGGGACGAAGCCGATGTTTACTTTTTCTACATATAAAATGACATTGACATCGAAATGAGAAGTACAATTCCCAGGTAAACATAAAGGAGCTGTCCGTCAGTCACTGTATGTGACACTCGTAAACAAAACTAAACTACATGTCCAATGTATATATACAGTCAGTTTTACGTGAAAGTTCCCAATATATTGAGTTAAGAGTACCAATTAGTTCGCAGGAGCCCTTCCTACACAAGTCGTAGCTACTAATGCTTGTTTACATTTTTTGTAACGACATAAATATGACAAAGGTGAGCAGTGATTGGCACATGACAAATCATGTATATTATACATCTAGCTTTTTTTTTTGATTTGTTATTATTTTTTCACATTTTTTTAACTAACCAGCTAAAATAGTTATTGGGACACTTCAATGAAATGGAAAATGATTCGGCGTGTTCTCTCAAGGTGTAATGATAAGAGTTAGTCTTATCTCCCTGTGAGATGAGGACTGTATACTTCACATTTTGGTTCATCTTAAGACCAAGAAAGGGTTTTTTTGTAAAGTTTCATTGAAATCGGTACAGTGGTTTTTGAGAAATTGAAAATATTAAAAGTTTACGGATGCACGAAGTACGACGCCGAACAAAGTTGAAAGCAATAGATCACCATGAGGCTTTGTTACAGTGAACCGAACAAGAGGCCCAGGGACATTAACGGTCATCTAACTATAAAGACCTACATATGAAAGGAGCTAAATAGGCCTAAAATAAATTGCTTAATATCTACAGCTTACATAAAAACACTGTTGGCTCAAGAAAAAAAAACATTTTCTGCAAGCGTGAAATCGTAGTCTTTATATATGCTACAACATAAATGCTATTACTCCGAGCCTATTGCTTGTCCACAAAGAAATTTTAAGTTCTGAACTCACATAACCCACGAGACCTTGAATATAGGTCAAAGTCAATTATTGAAACAAATCGGTAGCCCGCCATTCACTTAATTTAATTAACCATTCCTCTTGGCCTTTATGTTGTTGAGAAGAGGTCGTTTAATTTTAATACAACTGACCCCTGTGACCTTTATAAAGAGAAAAGGTTAATCACATGCACAAACTTGGTAACCCTTCATCCCAACATGCTACAGGCCGCTCAATATCAGCATTCTGGGCCTTTTGGTTATTGAGAAGTTGTTCAAAGATTTTTACACATTTGTCCAATGTGACCTTGAAAATGGGTCAAGGTCATTCATATTTTCAAACTTGGTAACCCTTCATCCCAACATGCTACAGGCCGCTCAATATCAGCATTCTGGGCCTTTTGGTTATTGAAAAGTTGTTCAAAGATTTTTACACATTTGTCCACTGTGACCTTGAAAATGTGTCAAGGTCATTCATATTTTCTAACTTGGTAACCCTTCATCCCTGCATGCTACAGGCCGCTCAATATCAGCACCCTGGGCATTTTGGTCATTGAAAAGTGGTTTAAAGATTTTGACATATTTGATACTTGTGACCTTGAAAATGGGTCAAGGTCATTCATATTTTCAAACTTGGTAACCCTTCATCCCAACATGCTACAGGCCGCTCAATATCAGCATTCTGGGTCTTTTGGTTATTGAAAAGTTGTTCAAAGATTTTTACACATTTGTCCACTGTGACCTTGAAAATGGGTCAAGGTCATTCATATTTTCTAACTTGGTAACCCTTCATCCCTGCATGCTACAGGCCGCTCAATATCAGCACCCTGGGCATTTTGGTCATTGAAAAGTGGTTTAAAGATTTTGACATATTTGATACTTGTGACCTTGAAAATGGGTCAAGGTCATTCATATTTTCAAACTTGGTAACCCTTCATCCCTGCATGCTACAGGCCGCTCAATATCAGCACCCTTGGCATTTAGGTCATTGAAAAGTGGTTTAAAGATTTTGACATATTTGATACTTGTGACCCTGAAAGTTGGTCAGGGTCAATAATATGAACAAAGATGGTAGCCCTTTATCCCAGCATGCTAAAGGCCCAATATCAGCCTATGGACATTTTGGTAACTGAGAAGAAGTTGTTTGAATATTTCAACACTTTTGACTACTGTGACCTTGAAAGCGGGTATTTCACTCATATTAATAAACTTGGTAGTCCTTTATCCCAGCATCACGCAGGCCCAGTATCAGCACCCTGGGCTTCTGGTTATTGAGAAGAAGATATTTAAAGATTTTAACATATTATTTATTCCTTGTGATCTTGAAAATTAGCAAAGGTTTTTATTTTAACAAACTCGATGGGTCTTCATCCAATCATGCTACATGCCCAATTATCAGCACCCTGGGCCTTTTGGTTATTGAAAAGTAATTTAAATGGAAAGTTTAAGCATGGCGGACGGCTCACGACAACGGACCAAACACTTGTACGATGGCTATTGTTCACCCTGACCTTTCGGGTCAGATGAACTAATATGCTAGCTGTGATGTTCTTGACATTTTGGTCGGCATGACAGATACCGTCGCGCAACGATAACCAGTCGGCGTGACGTAACTACTGTCTTGACACCAAGCGGACGTTATACAGACAAGGCGTAAGAGATACTCCCAGGACACCCTTTAGTGATGATACGCAGTCGGTGTGATGTAGCTACTCTCGCGACATCGGGCACTGAATGGACGTAGCGCATGAGTAACTCCAAGGATGCTCTCTAGTGAAAATAATCAGTCAGCGTGATGTTACTACTGACGGGACACCAAGCGGGCGTTGAGTGGACGGAGCATGTGAGTAACGCCTAAGACGCCCTCTAGTGACTGTAAACAAGACACAGCTACTGTCGCGACACCAAACGGACGTTGAATGGCCGTGGCGTATGAGTTACTCCCAGGATGCCCTTCAGCGATGGTAAACAGTCAGCGTGTTCTGGAACTAGATCAAATCTCTGGAGAATTGTGGTCAAATACAAAAATAGCTCCATACGTGCCAGTGTCTCGCCCAGACATGCGCGGCGACCTGTAAAACATATTGACCGAATTACTTTTTTTTACTAATTTTATGTGCTTTCCACTTTTGTTTGATTCATTTAAAGAAAACAATCACTTTCCAACAATTGCTTGGACAAACTATCCAAAAGATATCAATAAACAAAAAGAAAATCCGAAGATGAATTCAATAAGCATAATTTTGAAAAAAAATAGATAAAAAGGGAAATACCAACATGCAACATAATCATTATCCAAACCCAACTTCAATCAAACAAGGGTAAAATAAGAGAAAACGAAAGCTTTTCACGGAGACACCTTGAAAGGTATTAGGAGAATAAGTTCAGGTTTTCCGGAAGATTAAGCGTCTTCTGCTTCATCGACGACTCCCGCCATGTAAATCTTGGGCAATCCATGTAACTTATGCCACGTCCACAAATGAAAACAAGATAAACTGAATTTGGTTTATGAGAGAATTACCCATACTATTTTGAATACTGAATATTCCGCTTTGATTTTCTAGATTCTATATTACATGTACATGTTTCCACAAATCAATTTATTCTGCTGCAATATTAGCAGGAACACAGTAGGACCACAGACCATTTTACAACGTCCCGATTATCTCTAAAATCAACTAATATCGAGTCCGGAATGATTGCTGATTAAGAACTACAGTGATATGTAAACTGGTGTATTAGATGTATTTACTTTCGAAGCACAAAATTGTTTTACTTACCCACAGAGAATGCTGCAAAAACTTCGTGTCTGAAGAATTTCCCATTTTCATTTAAAAATCGAGAAGGGTCAAACTTTTCTGGGTTTGGAAATTCTTTCGGGTCAAATAACACAGAGTCTATATTTAGAAGTAAAACGGCTCCTTTCGGAATAATGTACCCACGGAATTCTACATCTGTGTTGCAACCATGAGGAACGCCTAAAGGGGCAACATTTGCCTTTCGGATCACCTCTGTTACTACTGCCTCAGAATACGGCATGTTCTCCTTGTCACCTAGGTTCGGAAAACGTGATGTTCCAACAACATCATGTATTTCGGCTACCATTCGTTCCTTCACATCTGGGTTATGCAACAGGAAAAGAACAGCCCATCGAATCGAGGTTGTAGTAGTTTCTGTTCCAGCAGAAAATAAGTCCCCTATCGATCGAAGCATTTGGACATCTGAAAAATACCAATACGTACAGTATTATATATAGGAGAAACACCTTCACATATATCTAATAAACAAATGACAGTTTCGGTGCAGTATTGCTTAGATTTCAGAAACAAATCTACAAGCATATTTTTATTGCAAACCTGCGTACGTGTCAATACTAGCATGCCTGTAAGTGTTATCGCTGGATTGAGGGACACTAACTACCTAAGTTACCTCCATGGCCCTGGCGAGTAGCAAGCCCTATATTAATTTAATGAGGTGCTGATTCTTATGTTTATGAAATTTCCGCGGTGCACTTATTACCATTTCACGGGTTCCTGGTTTCGATTCGTTCCGTACTCATTTAAAGAAATCGTTACGGTCTAACTGGCGTTTTGCATTTCTGCTAAATTTCTGATTCTCCTGAAACTTTCTTAATGTATCTATTCCCCAAGGCACTTTGACCAGATTTAGACTGGATAATTGAAACAATGCTAGAATGTTCAGGCCAAAGGGTATTATCTTGAAGATTCAATGTCATACTGTATGTAGATTTGGAACAGACTCTTTCTACCTATGTTCAGTATCATTGGCCAACAAAACAAAGGCTAATTGTGTATAGCTGTGTTAATGTTGACCTTACGGAAGAGTCAGTGGGTCCACCGAGGGCAAATTGTGTGACACTGTTTCTGACGAGTCAGTATGCTTACCAAGGGCAAATTGTGTGACACTGTTTCTGACGAGTCAGTATGTTCACCAAGGGCAAATTGTGGGACACTGTTTTTGACGTGTCAGTATGCTTACCAAGGGCTAATTGTGGGACACTGCTTTTGGAGATTCAGATTTGTAGATTTTACCTGTAAATGTGTTGGACTTGTCCGATTGCCGTTTCTTCTTCTCTTTGAGATAGGCATCGATGTAATCACGAACGTATGTGTCATCTAAACTATTGTCATGTTCCTGGACCAGTTCCCAGATAAAGTCGTACACCGCGTCAGCGTTCCTCAGAACCTATGGATAAACATCAAACCATCCTAGATTATCGATGTGCAAAAAAAATGTTCGTTAGAATAACGACAGAAAGAGTATATTTGTTTATGTTTACTCATGTTTTCACTTCCCTAATTTCATGTGATTTGTTTTCATGCGCACATTTTAAAGGTCTTGAAGTTTGGTTGCGATATCTTGAACGCAAGAGGCTTTTCAGCGCTGATTTGGATATTTGACTGACACAAAAATAACAACTCTTAGTCAGGATTTTCCCAGAATCATTTCAGACAAGTTTCCAGCTGAATCCCATTGTGGAACTTGGGAAGTTTCGAATATAAACAGTTTACGTTTAAGTTTTTGCATCCCGTTTCTCTCCTACAAAGAGAGTCTGACTCCTGATGTATACCTTAAATATATTTCCATATACTTCGCCTATTCGTACTAAGCCCCTTTGATCCTAATATGTATTTGGTGGGTGGGAGGGGGGGGGGGGGGTTGGGTTCAGACCAACAATTATAGAAAACTGATTCCCCTTCACCCAAGGATACTCCACACCAAATGTGGACAATCTCCAATCATTCAACCAGAAGAAACGTGAATGGCATGATTAAGCTTTATTTCCTCTACTGCATCCCGCCCCTCAGTCCCCAGGAATTGTCAGATCTACCGTTAAAAATAATCATCTCTACCCAAGGACATTTCGAAGCAAACTATTTCATCCCGCCACAAGAAGCATGTTTTAAGACGTTTTGCGTTTTGACAATGAAAGTTTGTTATCGCAATTTCGCAAATATTGCATGTATGCTCCTCTTCGGCACCTCATGGTGCCCTTCTGATTTTGTGACGGAGCAAAACAAACAGTGAGGTGCCCTTCTGATTTTGTGACGGAGCAAAACAAACAAAAAAACAAAATCAAGACAAAGTAGCTGTCAGGCCATCTCCGATTTCGAATATGAAAGCTTGTTATCGCTATATCTTGATCAGAAAAACAAAATGGCCGTTAGGTGACGTCATGGATATTTACAATAAAAAGTAGATATTGCTATTTCTTCAGAAATACTGGATTGGTCTTTCTCAAGTTTTGATTTTGGGGCTGACCAGAAAAAGTCGATAGACGATCATCTTGAATTTGACAATTAAGGGTCATTATCGTTATTTCTTTTTCAAATTTCATGATTATGGACAAAAAACAGAAGAAGAGAAAAATCGAACTTGAAAGAATTAAAATCGAACTATGGTCGGCACCAAGATCTCTTCGAGATTTCTGAGATGACGAGCGACGGACCATGCGCCATGGCATAAAATCACCGGTCCTTGGATCAGGTGAACATGAAATCTGAAGCCATTGGCTTCTCTGTAAGGTGTTTATTAAATGCTTGTTAGTCGAATATTTTATCTAATGGGTTTTATGACACTGGAGACGAGGCAGCCATTTGATTTGACACAACCGGGCAAGTTATCTGGAACGCGTAAGATTCGGTTGAAAGACCTCATCTTGAATTTTGATCTTCCCAACTGAACCATTAAAATACTTGGTTATCTGTTGGTGAATCCAGGGACTTCTGATTAGAAAATGTTTTCTATGTCACATTCTAGATATCATTTGTTCATTCTATGTGTTTTACCTCTCCACACTTCATATGAATAGGAGTTCTAAGTATAGAGAAAGTTCAGATAATGCATTTTCACCAGGACGACAGATTTTTATGATTTAAAAGGTTGGGGCATTTTTAAGGGATTGGGGTGGGGGGCGTTGAACGTTTTTCTACGTGAATGACAAAGAATCTGCAGTATTTTCTACTTTGATTTCTGGACACAAAGTATATTTGTTGTTGTATTTTTTCTTATTTGGTAAGTATGACAACAGTTCCATAGTGGAGGTCGGTTAACGTGGACTCACTCACCTGTTTTCCTTTAAAAGGGTCGCCGGGAATATGCTGCAGAAAAGGCAAGAAATTCAAGATTGGATTCATCAATTTGAAATTGGCATCGAACATTTCCATGAGTTTTGTGAATCGTTCGTCTTTGTACTCAAACCTCTGTCCAAAGACGATCGAGCAAATGACATTAGAAACACTAGTCTGGGTCAGCGCGTGTATGTTAAAAGGTTCTCCTTTCTTTTCTTCAAGACAAGGGAGATAAGCTTCAATTTCCTCCATTATCTTGGATTCTAGACTTCTCTTCCCAAACCCGAACTCCCGAAGTGTAGCCAAAGCAAAAGCTCGATGTTCTTTCCATAATTCTCCAGAACTTCCGGCAATACCTAAATAAAACAAAACAATTGGTTTCCATTACTGATAGGAAACATATTGCAAAAAAACAGTGATAAATCAAAGGTTGTTATTTCCGTAAGCTATCGCAATATCCCGGCCTATTCCGCCAGGGTTTCCGAGTTCTTGCGGAATTAGCCGATGTATTGCAACTGCGTTCATGACAGGCCTGATATTATCTTTATAATGGTAGTGAACGTGGACTTAAATTATCTTTAGAGGTGAAGTGGGGAGATGGAGAGGGTTTGACCTTTTGGTATACATTGAAGGTTCCTAAAATTCCATTTCCCTTTTTAAAACGAAAGTATTTTAAGTGATATCAGTTCAGTTTCCTTTCTCTGTCATATGCAATTATTTCTCTTTCACATCTGTTTACTGTCAGTTTTCTTCATGGCAATACAACTCAGTGTTCAGAATGTAGAAATACACTGACTTAGAGTAGATAAAAATATTGTATCTAGAGCTAACAAATGTAGGATATATATAGGAAATGCTAATGTAAATGTTTGATAAAAAATGTGGTTTAGATAAATGTAAACTGCAGCTTCGTAAAATCAGAGATCTATATACCATATATGTTATTTAGGTCTCTGATAAAAACTCATCGCCTCATGGTGCCTGTGTAGAATTCAAATCCACATGTTTCCTATACAGGACCGCTATGACATAAGGAAAACCCGTTAAATAAGTAATGAATCTGAAGTACGTTACTTGAGACATTATACAGTCTGAACATTTTGATGTCAGCTTGATAGAATTTTAGCAGTTTAAATACTCTTATTGTACCACAAAAATTACACTCAGTGATGATTAAATATGTGCTGCGAGGCGTGACTTTATTCTTCATGTAGTTATGTGTACCTATTGATTCCGACTAAAAAAATCATTAATACTTGTTATCCGGAGACCAATTTTTACCCAAAACCTGTAGTCAAACATGTATACCAGATAATATCAAAGATAGATGGGCTGTTAATATATCAGAATACTTTGTGGTGACGTTAAAATGATAGACATTAAGGCAGGATTGTTAATCAGAAAATGATCAAAGTGAGATTTCAAAATTCATAATCCGGATATTTTCTCCGGAAGTCAAGATTCCGAATTAACGGGATCTGTTGATCGGAGCACCATACCGTAATGCTTGGAGATGTCCTTGAAGATGAAGATGTCCGGTCGATCAGAGAAGCTGTCTCCATGTTGGACAAACGCCTCACGTAAAGTTGAGTACCCGTTGAACACTATGGTAACTGTATTACCAATATGCAGTGTAAAAACATCACCATACTTAGCCCGAAGTTCCCTGAACGTCAAAAACACATTGTTCTCCTTCATACAGACGAGGTTTCCTATCACAGGTAGTGGAGTTGGGCCTGGTGGGAGATTTTTATATTGTAGACGTCTCCAGGAATGATAAATTACCAACAGTACTAAACATACTGCTACCAAAGTGAAAAACATGGCCGCACGTTTGGGATTCTAGAAGTATTCCACTGTAAACATTTGTGTCAGTGAGCGCAAGACCGTCCCAGATGAATCTAAACCCAACACACAATCCGCGTGATTTACACACTAATTTACGTATCAATGTATTCACATCAATAAATCATTAATGTCGCTATCATATATACGATATCTTAATGACCCACTTCATCATTGGTATATATCCGGATTTCATCTGAACTAGCTGTATATACACAATAAGTTAAATTGCACATTCAACATCCGATTGTATGTACATGTATAGATTGCTAGTGTTAAAACACAGATGTCTACGGTTAAAATGTCCCGGGAGCTTTCTGTAGGATAGCGCCTACCCACGAGTACACACATACAAACTTCCCCGCGTACACACACGTGTTTACAGTGATCTCACCTCAAATGTAAACACACGACACACACCGGATCCAGATGAAGTCCAGTCGCTGCGTGCGGCTAGAACAAGCGTTGTCCGCCTAGATCAACCTCAAATACAGCAGCTGGTGTTAAAAAAAAACACGTTGACAACCAACCGGACGAGTGTCACCAGATGTTCATATCTTGTTTATATGTATATATGTACACAGTACCTGGTTTTCACACAGGTGTTTTCTTTGCCAGTCAAGCATATCGAGGTGTGTAGACGCATACTAAATGTACTGTCCCTAAGGCATACGTGCAACCTGGCCGATTCATTAACTTCTATTTACCTGACCGATTTATAAACTCCTGTTTTGACGGACAAAATTAATTCCAGGCCGTCGACATTTTGACCGGCTTTTAGCCTTTAAATGTGTTTTAAATGCTTATTTTAGATCTAGTCCCATGATATTATTGATAGCCGCAATGTTAAATAAGGAACATTCAGTTGTAGAAATATATCAAAATGTCCTCATTTACGTTCTATAGAAATATACACTGTCAGCTGAGTTGTTCCCGGACACAAGTAGTCGGTAACTCGTATGACCGTTACCTCTGTTACTCGAGGTTGGTACCACGTGGATATATAGTGTCGTGTTAAAAATTCTTGTGTCGTCATTTACCACTTGAAAGATGATTTGAATATCTTATCATAAAAAATACACGTGTCCAAAGATTCCCGCGAAGTACGTCCGCGAAAATGAACATATTTGCAGTAATCAGATAAACGTCTGTCTATCTTTCCGTCTGCTAGACAAATTTATCATTGCCTGTGTACGAATTTCTGCCTGTCATTGGATACGTTTTGTTCGTGTGTTGAAAATATCTTGAAATCTTCTGTCAACGGCGGTTGCTGTGTTTGAAATGAACATCTTCGTGGACAGGCCGGGATAAATTAATTCCCATAACTTAAATGCTATACTACATAGCACAGGGTCCCGCGGATTAAATCAGTCGATTCTATAAAAATGACACCCTTCAATCGTGTTCCTTGATTATAACACTCCATGTTACCCTGAACTAAACCAGAGCATAATATGTCAAGTCATTCAGTGTGTTATTGGTCCTCTCCGTCCGTTCGTCTAAGTGCCCGTCCGTCCGGCCTTGCGTCAAAGATTGACAGCGCTTCATTCGTTAAGGGACACATACTTATAAATCACATTGAAAAAATGTTAAGTGCCGGGATTGTTTGGTCAAAATGAAGGCCATTAGTTCTATTTTTAGAGAATCATTGTCAGTTCTCTAGCAGTGTCATTCCTTGAGAGGTTCTCATCAAACTTGAAACGCTAATCAAGCATCAAGATACCATGCGTGACTTGTTTTTCAGGACTGACTGGTCAAGATCACTATTACTGTAATGAGAAAATCTTTGTCAACGGTATAGCGGCATCATTCCTCGTGGAACTTTGATCAAATCACACTTACAAACGACCACGATATCTTGGACAAGTTCGAGATTCAGAGCTGTTGGGCCAAGGTCATTGTTCCTGTGTTTGGAAGGTCATTGTTAGGGCTGTTGGGCCAAGGTCATTGTTCCTGTGTTTGGAAGGTCATTGTTAGGGCTGTTGGCCAAGGTCATTGTTCCTGTGTTTGGAAGGTCATTGTTAGGACTGTTGGGCCAAGGTCATTGTTCCTGTGTTTGGAAGGTCATTGTTAGGGCTGTTGGCCAAGGTCATTGTTAGGGCTGTTGGGCCAAGGTCATTGTTCCTGTGTTTGGAAGGTCATTGTTAGGGCTGTTGGCCAAGGTCATTGTTCCTGTGTTTGGAAGGTCATTGTTAGGGCTGTTGGCCAAGGTCATTGTTCCTGTGTTTGGAAGGTCATTGTTAGGGCTGTTGGCCAAGGTCATTGTTCCTGTGTTTGGAAGGTCATTGTTAGGGCTGTTGGGCCAAGGTCATTGTTCCTGTGTTTGGAAGGTCATTGTTAGGGCTGTTGGCCAAGGTCATTGTTCCTGTTTGGAAGGTCATTGTTAGGGCTGTTGGGCCAAGGTCATTGCTCCTGTGTTTGGAAGGTCATTGTTAGGGCTGTTGGGCCAAGGTCATTGTTAGGGCTGTTGGGCCAAGGTCATTGTTCCTGTGTTTGGAAGGTCATTGTTAGGGCTGTTGGCCAAGGTCATTGTTCCTGTGTTTGGAAGGTCATTTTTAGGGCTGTTGGGCCAAGGTCATTGCTCCTGTGTTTGGAAGGTCATTGTTAGGGCTGTTGGGCCAAGGTCATTGTTAGGGCTGTTGGGCCAAGGTCATTGTTCCTGTGTTTGGAAGGTCATTGTTAGGGCTGTTGGGCCAAGGTCATTGTTCCTGTGTTTGGAAGGTCATTGTTAGGGCTGTTGGGCCAAGGTCATTGTTCCTGTGTTTGGAAGGTCATTGTTAGGGCTGTTGGCCAAGGTCATTGTTAGGGCTGTTGGGCCAAGGTCATTGCTCCTGTGTTTGGAAGGTCATTGTTAGTGCTCTAGCGGCTTCACTTCTCAAAGATTTTTTTTCAATTTTAACACAGTTTTAAAACAAAGGAATCAAACAAGTCGGAGTTTCAGGTTAGGTGGATGAAGGGTTACATCACTTGTTATTTCTATTCAGACGCCTGTCTCTGCGTACATAGTTACACGATATAGTGGTGAGCCAAAGTCTAAGAACTTTTGCCCTACGATCAAGCCATTTCTGTCCAACATATGTTACTCAGAACAAACTATGTTCTTCTATGATCACTTACCAAACCGGGCCTGGTAAAATTTTCAACTCACACTTTCTGAATGTTGCCAGTATACCGAGTCTGATCTGAATTATAATGAAGACTGGTCAGAGCATACTGGTAATGACAATATTAAAAGTAACAAGAGAACAGATATCATTCTATTTAAGTCTACGGTGCTCTCTAAGGTTATAAACAAACTAGATGTTAAAAATCCACTGAAGTAGACGAAATATCTGCCAAGATTATGAAACTGGGTCGTGATTCTTTATTATAGCCCACTTCAAAATTACAGACCTGTGAGCGTTTTACCTGTTTAATCAAAAGGTTTTGCAAGAATCCTTCATGATAATTTTTGCTCATTTTTTAACCAAATTTTTATTTCCTAATTCTATTTTTCTGCTTTCAAGAAGGGGTCCCAGACTACTGTTACGACTCCTGGATGACTGGACGGCAACGTTTGGGTGCAAAAAAACCTGTTAATACTCCTGAAGGACTGGCGTCAGGCTGTGGGTTCCAGACCACTCTGTTACGACTCCTGGAGGACTGGGCGTCAGGCTTTGGGTTCCAGACCACTCTGTTATGACTCCTGGAGGACTGGCGTCAGACTTTAGGTTCCAGACCACTCTGTTGCCACTCCTGGAGGACTGGCGTCAGGCTTTGGGTTCCAGACAACTCTGTTACGACTCCTGGAGGACTGGGCGACAGGCTTTGGGTTCCAGACCACTCTGTTACGACTCCTGACGAACTGCTGTCAGGCTTTGGGTGCCAGACCACTCTGTTACGACTCCTGAAGGACTGGTGTCAGGCTTTGTGTTCCAGAACACTCTGTTACGACTCCTGGAGGACTGGGCGTCAGGCTTTGGGTGCCAGACCTCTCTGTTACGACTCCTGGAGGACTGCGCGGCAGGCTTAAGGTTCCAGAACACTCTGTTATGTTACGACTCCTGGGGGACTGGTGTCAGACTTTGGGTGCCAGACCATTCTGTTACGACTCCTGGAGGACTGGACGTCAGACTTTGGGTGCCAGACAACTCTGTTACGACTCATTGAGGACTAGCGTCAGGCTTTGGGTGCAAGACCACTCTGTTACGACTCCTAAAGGACTGGTGTCAGGCTTTGGGTGCCAGACCACTCTGTTACGACTCCTGGAGGACTGGGCGTCAGGCTTTGGGTTCCAGACAACTCTGTTACGACTCCTGACGAACTGCCGTCAGGCTTTGGGTGCCAGACCACTCTGTTACGACTCATTGAGGACTGGCGTCAGGCTTTGGGTGCCAGACCACTCTGTTACGACTCCTGAAGGACTGGTGTCAGGCTTTGGGTGCCAGACCACTCTGTTACGACTCCTGGAGGACTGGGCGTCAGGCTTTGGGTTCCAGACAACTCTGTTACGACTCCTGACGAACTGCCGTCAGGCTTTGGGTGCCAGACCACTCTGTTACGACTCATTGAGGACTGGCGTCAGGCTTTGGGTGCCAGACCACTCTGTTACGACTCCTGAAGGACTGGTGTCAGGCTTTGGGTTCCAGAACACTCTGTTACGACTCCTGGAGGACTGGGCGTCAGGCTTTGGGTGCCAGACCATTCTGTTACGACTCCTGGAGGACTGGACGTCAGACTTTGGGTGCCAGACAACTCTGTTACGACTCATTGAGGACTAGCGTCAGGCTTTGGGTGCAAGACCACTCTGTTACGACTCCTAAAGGACTGGTGTCAGGCTTTGGGTGCCAGACCACTCTGTTACGACTCATTGAGGACTGGCGTCAGGCTTTGGGTGCCAGACCACTCTGTTACGACTCCTGAAGGACTGGTGTCAGGCTTTGGGTTCCAGAACACTCTGTTACGACTCCTGGAGGACTGGGCGTCAGGCTTTGGGTGCCAGACCACTCTGTTACGACTCCTGGAGGACTGGGCGTCAGGCTTTGGGTGCCAGACCTCTCTGTTACGACTCCTGGAGGACTGCGCGGCAGGCTTAAGGTTCCAGAACACTCTGTTACGACTCCTGAAGGACTGGTGTCAGGCTTTGGGTTCCAGAACACTCTGTTACGACTCCTGGAGGACTGGGCGTCAGGCTTTGGGTGCCAGACCACTCTGTTACGACTCCTGGAGGACTGGACGTCAGACTTTG